GGGGGTGGATGGGACAACGGGGGGCAGTCGGGGACAGGGGGGTGGATGGGGCAGGACTCCCGGGGGGACTATGCCACACCTGGCTGTTTGGGGAGGCACAGCCTCCCCTAACCGGCCTTCCATGCAATTTCGAAAACCCGATGTGGCCCTCAGGCCAAAAAGTTTGCCCGCCCCGACCTACTGGATAAGGACTTGGAAGCAGTTTGTCTTTCTTTCTCTCCTCATGCTGGTACTACTTCTCCTTTTCTTCTCTCTTGTACTTATGCTGTTTCTTCTGGTCTTCTCTCTCTTGTTCCCGGTCTGCTAGCTGCTGCATTTCCAGATGCAGTTTGTCCCTTTCCAGCTGCAGATTCTCCTGATCTATTTGTAGATCCGTCTCTGATCCCAGTTGCAGTGATGCACTCAGACTACATAGAAAAGAGGTAGTGCCTCTGCCAGCCACTTACCTGCTTCCCTCCAAGGAGCTGGCTCCAAGATTTACCCTGCCAGCTGTACCCTCTGCCAGTGGGTGTAAGTTCCCTGCAGACCTGGACCATTATTCCTCTTCTGTTCGTTAGAATACAGCAAACCTACTAACTGTGTTTTCATCAGGTCCTCAATGCTGAGCTGCCTTTCTGTGCACACCTCAACCAGCCAAGGTCTCCTCAGCTGTTCATAATTCATCTTCCCCTGTCTCTTTTCACAAAACTTTCCCGAAAAGATTGAGACTTTTCTCTGTACTTCTCCTTTCTAGGGTACTTACTTCCACTGCAATTCACACTGATACAGATCACACACACACACACAGCCATCATATATGTCACAGTTCAGGGCACCTGTACATCCCCTCAGTGGTCCAGCAAGGGCACCCACTCTCGAGCTTCTGGCTCCCCAGCCATTGCCTTTGGATTGAGCATTGGGTAGAGACATGCATCTCTCTCCTTTCTGACCAGGGTATTTCCAGGGCTGAACCACCCCTGACAAAACACAGGCTGCCTAAGCAGGCTTGTTTTGCCTTCTCTTCAGAGAAGAGACACAAACAACACAAAGACCTACATGCATGCTAATAAGCTTACTAGAGATCACTCCAAATCCAATAATGGCTCTGGCAGCAGCAATCCTTCAAACCCCACACGAGTTTTCCTATGGTTTCAAATTCATAACACCCTTTGCTCAGAACAGGAACCCAGACTTTTGGTGCCTAAGTAGGCCAAAGTCCTTCCAACCTTCCCTAAGGATTGGGACCTTCCGTGGACCACAGATCCTGTCCGACTGTTGGATCAGAAAGAAGGCCCTGAATCAGTTTACCACCAGACCATTTAACCAAAAACTCTTCTTTTGTCTCTTGGTCCCTGAAGAATCCAGTTTGAACTAGTTTAGGCAAACCTCGCCAGCGGCTGGTGCTTCTCTAGAGATTTTGCAACCTGTGTGACTTTGACTAATCACCCCATATTGTTCTTAGTTCTGGGCGGGAGCTATATTTACCCTTGCCGTGGAAATACACGGAATCCCTGCCCCGTGAGGATACATAAACAATTCATTTAATACAATAGGTTCCAAAGATTTTAAAACTTGATTCAGTAAAGTTCATCCAGGATATTTCAGGAGATTACCCTTTTTTATCACACATCCCATGACTGTGAATATGCAGAGTCCATCTTGAAGAATCTCAGTTACAAGTAACCAATCTTCATTTTCAGAACATCAATTGGAAGAAGCCAGGAAAACAAAATTATGAAAGAAAATGTGCTGGAAGACTACATACAAAGACTACAGGCAAAATTCACCCTTGGTACAACTTCATTAACTTCAATGGAATTACATCAAGGATAGATTTTGCCTTTCGAGTCCAAATGTGCTTGTGTAAGGCAAGTTACTGGTTCCTAATGACAACCTTAACAATGACATAGGATTTCTATTTAAGAACAATGGAGCAATTTACCACACTGAGAAAATAAGTTTGTTAGAATAGTTTATATTTTAGGATTGGCTCTAAAAGAGCTAATAATAAAACTCGTTAAATGTTGCATTCTTCCAATTTATAACAGTCAATCATACCAATAAAAAGAGAACAGAAAGAACATAGTTCATTTTTATGTTAAACCTACATGCAAAGTTTTTTGAAATCTAGAAACCTTTAGCTATAATGAAATTCAAAAGACCACAGAGTTTCTCAAATGCTTGAAATTATACTATTTTCTGTAGTGCATACCTGGAAAGCATTTTGTTTAAGTCTCAATATTTGTAATAATGTATGTATCTCTAAAATGGTATGAATTAATATCTCAGAATTCAAAATATTACTAACTCTTTTATTTACAATAAAAATACTTTACCTGGTAACTTAGCAAAGAAGCGATCAACTGCTGAGTAACAAAGTCTTCCCGTCTGTATATAAAGATTACAGATAAAGAAGCAGTAGTCTAAAGGAATGGCTCCATGGTAATAAACTATAAGCCCTGGTCCTTCCGGAATTTTTTCAATACCATGAAGCTCATAACCTGTCAAGAGTACAAAGTACAATAGTTTCAATACTAGCTTTATACCAGTCAACCTGTGATATAACATAAACTCCTTACTAGAGTTGTGGAAACTCTTGATGATATGTGAGGAAGCTGTACCAGGAGTAAGTTTTAGCATAACAATTAACTCTTGGTTCTGATAGTCAAACATTTCACTTGATAGTCAAAATGCAGTGAGAAAATGGCAGCCTTATTCTTGATTTCCTGCATCACTGAACCATATGTCAGCCCACAGAGGCCTAAAGTTTTGGTGCAGTTTTGAGTCATTGTTCTTATTTTTGTAATTGTGACCATAATTGAAAAGGAGTCAGAAATCAAGGAAAAAATTCTTACCTGTAAATGGCATTTGTGACATACCCAGAGTACAATCTAGACTAGTGAGTAGCTGTTCCACGCCTGCCTGGTGTGCCCTTTACACTGCTTTGCGGCTGTAGCTTCCCATCGGGACTGCTCACAAACAGCCTCCAGCATGTAAGTCACTCCCAGCTATGTCTGTGTGCACTTGCAGCCTGCCAGTCACACCTAGGCTTTTACCAGCCTGAATTATGCTGCAGGGTGATGCCAGCATACTCCCAGTCCCAGATTTTCCCCGGAAATGTATGTCTTCTACTGCCCAGTCCTTCTCTGGACAATACAGGTTTATAGATAGTCCATCATTCTATTAACAGAAATGATATGCACAAATCTTGTTATCTCAAGTGGAGTTTCCCAAACATTTCAATTCAAACACACTAGTTTAGATAAAACAATAAAACAAGTTTATTAACAACAAAGAGATAGATTTTATGTGAATACAAGGAATAAGGCATAAAAGTCAGAAATGGTTAGAAGAAAATTAAAATGCAAATAGTTCCTAATTTAACAAACTATGTTAAATTCAAAGCAAAGTTATTCTTACCACATGTTCTCAACAGTCTTACTGACCAAACTCCTAAGGCCAGGACCCCTTCTTCTGTGTAATGGCTGTTTCCTTTTTTCCTTCTAGTGCACTGAATTGATGGACAGAGAATGAGAGAGGAGGTTGGGTGCGGTCCTGTGGGGTGTCTGCCCCCTTCTTTTTTATCGTCCTGTCCTCCACTTGAGAAGTATTTCTACCTGGGAGCATGGTGCCGGGAAAACTGTGTACACAGGAACCTTTGCTAAAATGTACATTTTCTGCCCATGACCTTTTTCCTGCCAATGAATAGCCACTTATCAGGCAATGGCCCATTGACTTTGTTTATACCTGGCTGATGCGTTAGCTTGACCTTTGTTCTGAGGAACTGGTTTTACCACTCCCCAGACTTGGAAAATGTTTTAGTACCATCATACAGTGGAATCTGATAACTTCACATACAATGTTACCACACATATTTTGCCAGGACAATAATGACCATCAGATTATGAGTTTTCAAATGATACGTCAGAAGGCATACTTTGTGAAAAGATTATAATAGTGTAAATACAAGCGTACAGTCCATCACAGTATTCAACTAAAGTTCCAGGCTATTCTCTAACTTGATGGGCTTTTTGTTCATGTCACACTTGGATAGTGTGATGCTCTGTACCTCGGGGGGACACCCAGCACTCCCATGTTCATTCTTGTAAAATGATAGTGTGGTATCCAATGCAAAGTTTGTCATGTTGGGTATCTTCGGAAGGCTCATGATGCACTAAGCATTGTTGTTATAGTGATGTTATAGTAATCGTTACAGTAATGTTATAGGTTATAATTTCATCTATATAATTATGAGGCTGAAAATGTATCCTCGTGGCTTAAAATAAGCCCAGGCAAAAACTCTCCAAGAGCAGAGAGGCAGTTCACACCTCATCAGGGCAGGTATGAGACAAACCTAGCCCAGCCTCACAGGAACAAAGGACGCTGGCCTGGGCAGCAACAAAAGGATCTGTTCGAGTGAGTCACCCCCCGCCCCCATTTCTTTGGTCAGTATGGAACTGCAATTGTTTATTCTACCTGAAGCAGTGCATTTGGTTTGAAGCATGTCAGAAACTCCCCTTGGGATAACAAGCCTGGTACATATCAATTTCTTTGTTAAATTGACAAACTCATATAAGCTTGCAGTGTCCAGTGGGCATAACTAGACACTGCAAGATGGAGGTTCCTAGGGTTGTGTCTGGGACCAGAGATATTGGCTAGTGTCATTCAGTTGCACAATCCAAGGAGCAGCTTACATGCTAGAGGCAGTGCATGAATAGCCCAGGAGTGGGAGGTTCTCACAGCAGAGCAGGGTAAGGCTGGTTCCCAGAGTCAAGGATTGGAGTGACCTAGTAGATCACCAGGCCCGATAACACCAGAGGGGAACATCACAGATAGTTATTAGCAACCAATGAAACTACAGAATGTTGAGCATCAATTCAAATGAATAAGCCTTCTGCTAGTTTTCCAGTCTTGTGTATGCTAAAGCTCTAAAAACTAAAAACAATTCAAACCTCGATGAGAGGCACATGGATGGGATTAAAAAAAAAAATTGCACTCAAGGAAAATCTAAAGTGGGGGAAAATATATCTAGAACTCAAAAGTGAAATCATTAGTAAAAACAAACCCCAAAAACAAAATAGAACCATGAAGCCAATGTTCACTGAAAGGATGTCAAAGCCTAGAACAGTAATAAAACAATAGAAAAATCACTGCATAATTAGAATGACTATAGGGCTGGAAATACAAAGAAAGGCCTAGTGAACTGAAACATACCATGTCCTATTAACTATCTTTAACTGTTCAAGTTGACCTAACAATGCACCAGCTCAAGTATTGGCTTTGGAGATGCTGGGTTATTTCCTCCAGCTTCAGATTGGTGGATGACAGCTCAGAGATCAGTGACAATCAGAGATATGTGAAGGACCATAGTTTTCCTCTAAACCTTCTCATGACTGCGGAGGACTTAGGAAAATACACTGGAGGAGGTCTGGAACACTGGGGAAGAGCTCAGCATTTGCACAGTCTACTCACTGGAAGGCAATGTGAGAATGAAGAGCTAAGAAGAGGCTTGAGATCAAAGTCTCAAATGGCTTTCAAAAATTCAGTAATCTCATTGGTCACTTGTGCCTATTTAAGTGTGATGTAAACAGAAAACCCATCAAGTTAGAAACTGGCCTTCTTCACTCAGAGACAGGGAGGATAGATGGGAAAATGCTTTTGGTAGATCAGGGTTTAACATGATAAATTTCAGTCACTGAGTGAGACGCAGTTGATGGCTCAGATTCTAATCCTGATCAGTTGCAATAAAATAAGCTGTCATGGAAATTGCTTATCAAATCTACCCCATCAGAAAGAACCTATGGTATTGTTTCCCTGTTAGCTTTCACTACTATATCTTTTTTGATTTAGTACAAAGTATAGTCATGAACAGTTATATTGTATTTTCCACATTAGAAGCCTGAAATCATACTTGTCTATACTCTGAAGTGGCTAAATTTTTCCCAATAATCTACTTTTACAACTAAACCTAATGATTTTCTTTTACATCCTTTAGTTTATTGAGTACTATCCTAATTATTTTTCTTGATGCAACATGACGTATAGCTGCATTAGGCTGATCATTATTCCTAAATTATGAATCCTAGGACAATTTTGCACACATGGGGCCTAATGCAATAGCCTTTGAAGTCAACATAAGAAGCCCCATTTATGTCATTGGCCATAGTGAGAAATTCACCTTGGAAGGCCTGCACAAGCCTTTTGCACAACTTAATCCCAAGAGTGGAGCTGCTGGAAAGTGGTAACATAGAAAATGCCACATGGGATTAAACCAATGGTCCATCTAGTTCAGTATCCTGTTTCTAACAGTGATCAGCAGAAGATGCTCCAAACCTCCACAATGAACCATTACGAAAAAACATATCTGGAGAACCACAGAGTTAAAAGTTGGCTTGTGTCCTGAAGCACATGAGTTTATATGCTTAACACATTTTCAGCATCATAGAATTGTGGATATACTTATTCAGATAAGACTGTCTAATCCTCTTTGCCTTCATAATACACTGTGGCACTTAGTTCCCCAGTTTCATGATGCATTGCAAAAATATTTTTTCTTTATCTATTTTAAATTTGTTGCTTTTAATTTCATTTGTGTCTCCCTTCTTGTATTATGGTGAAAATGTAACTAGAAGCACATGATTTACCTTATTTTTACTGTTCAATAGTTTCTCTCTAAACTATATAATCTTAATAATTTTAATCTTTCATCAAGCTTTTCCAGGGCTCATCATCTGCAGTGTCCTTTTTGGAACCTATTCTATTTCTACTATATTCCCACTTATGGTTTCGATTTACAAGCAGTGCTGATAATAGTCGGTAGGCATGAACAGAGTCCCCACTGAACAGTGACTGAAGCAGCACTCTCCTGAATGTAGCGTCAGTCCTAGTGACCAAATCCAGAACATAATGCCTGGAGAAAAAGTGTGTACAGAATTCCAGGTTGCAACTCTTCACATTTCAGCAACAGGGACCTGCTTAGGGCAAGCAAAAGAAGTTGCAACAGCTCTAGTAGAATGTGATTGTACTGAAGTAGGTACAAGAATTTCTGCTAATATGTAACATTCAACAATACACTGTTTAATTCATCTAGCAATAATCTGAGAAGAAACCATAAAACCCATATGATTCTTAGAATAAGACACAAATAATACATGATTTTCAAAACTTTTAGTTCGATCTAGCTAATGAGCAAGGGCCCTTCTCACATCCAAAGTATGTAAATAAAATAAATTCCTCCTTATTAGAATGTGGCTTTTGGAAAGATATCAGCAAATTAATTCTCTGATGGATATGAAAAGAAGGTATTTGCAACAAATGTGATGAATCAATATATGAAATTACGTGTTCTTTCAATCGAGAATTGTGAACAAATTGATAACTGAACCTGAAGGGATTATGGAAGCCAAAGTTAACATGCAGAACCAAAACTTCTGAATGTATTTGTTAATTTGATTCTTAAATCAAAAATTGGATGGAACCCACCCATCCTTTTTCTGCACCA